CTGATGAAGAAACAAACTCATCTACATCTGGGATGGCCTGAGAGTGAGTCAATCTTCAGCAAATGATTATTTTTGGGTGAACTATTCCTTTAAGACTGACTTCCAAGAAAGATTGCTGGCGCAGTTCACCTCTTCATGGTTCACAACAGAACTGAGTTTCAGTCCATGCATAATGGTCAGTGGATGTTTCAAGATAATAAAATCAGAGAGAGATAGAGATGGATCAGTTCATGGAAATCAGGTTCCTCCATGGAGTCTGTAATAAGAATACTATAATTTAATTAGCAATTTCTGCAACCCAAGATGGTTGGATATTAGCAGATGCCGTACTGCTGAAGGAAAACCACAGCTGCTGAAGATGACCGATTATTCTAGTTGTGTCCAGCAGCATTAAAGAAATGTCTTTAACTCTAGATAATATTTGGAAAGTGGAGTTGGTTTTCTCTGTGATTGACGTAATGACTTGTGTGATAATGTTGCCAAAACACCCTGGACAGTATTGTCATATCAATGCAATGCTTAACTTAAGAAATCAATATCATTCAAACCCCCACTTCAGTTCAGTTTTTAAGGTTTGAAGGTTGAGGAGAGTTACATATAGTAGTACATATACTGTATATAGTATATACAGTATATTGCTAATGTGTTTACACTCAGGTTCTCTAAAAAGTCTTTGGTACTGTTAGCCTGCAGTACAAGCAAAGCTCTTCATCTCCGAAACTCTTTCACTTTATTGTTTTCATATCAAATAAATGTACTTTTGTGACTGGTCATATTAATCATATAGGCCTTTACCAATGAAAACGTACACTGTAAAAAAAAATCCGTAAAATTTACGGTAAAATCCGGCAGCTGTGGTTGCCGGCATTTTACCGTAAAAACTACGGTAGCAACGTCTTAGGTTTTACTGTTTTAACTTAAATTTACAGTAAAATACCGTACTTTCATTAACTGATATAATGTTAATATACCAACCTATTGAAGTACTGAAATCTGTTTTGTACCCTTGTAATAATACACTGATAACCACCAAATGCAGGTGGTGATTAGAAAGTCACATGATGAACCAAAGCCCATCACAAGCAGCTTTTAAATAATAACATATATAGAAGGTGCACAGTGTCATTCACACAAACACCATCACGGTAACACACATGAAACTGAAATAATGCAATGTCATTTTTTACAGAGACTGCTTTGGAATTAGTTCTCATGAGTCACTGCATCAAATACTGAATGCGTAAACAGCATTGCTGAAGAAAAACCTTATTTTATTTGTGTGTCCAACTGCGCTTATTAAATAGCAAGTGATAATATTTATTTATTTAACCCGGGAAATGTGTTAACACAGTGTCAGTGTAGCTGGAACATAAACTTATATCGGATTTAAAAAAAAAAAAGGGTGTGCATTTTTTTTTGCAGAATTGTATTAGTTGTGGTTTCTCCCAGCAGGAACTGGCCATGTTTGTGACACTTTGTTATTACAATGCACACTCACTTTCTCTCTTTTGTCTTATCTTACATTATACATTTATGCATGTATTTATTTATACATTAATTCATTCATTCTTGCTTTATTAGCAGTTATGTGGTGTAACACCATTATCTCGCAGAGAAGGTGTATTTGTCAATATGTATCTTGGCTACAAAACACTATTTTAAAAGCTTTGCCCAGGATGAAAGACCTTGAACACGCTGACCTTTGGTGACAACAAAACAGGGGGTAAGTTGTCACAATGCAACCTATCATTACAACCATGACGCGTGAAACGATTCAGGAAACAAAAACGCGTAGGTCAGAAGACGTAACGAATAAATGCATAATAACACGACCGACTGAACTTTCCTACACAACCCTCTCCCGGTCCGTCCCGTTTGCGCATGCGCTGTGGCGCAGTCTTTAGCGGGTACACTCTGTGCAGTACAGTGATGTGACCCCACTGAAAGAGCCTCCCGAAAACAGCGAGCGAACGATACTAATGTTACTGAGAGCCGAGCAAAGCGACTGTTTCCGTTCTGTGCGTTTGAAGGAGACGCTGAAATCAGTGAAGTCATCTAACGGCGCCTCCCATCCGAAGAGCGAAGACGCCCGTGAGCGCACACACACTTATAGCGCAACTTTGCTCGTAGATGTGACTGTACCGCGCTGTACAGTGTATCTGGGGGAGAGGGGGGGACTATCCGGACAATCACATTCACTTTACGGACTATCTTTGTGTTTTTAACTATATCTAGATACGTGCACCCTGGTAAGTTGATCTAAGTCTCAATCAAGTAAGTGCGCTGCCTACTCCATGTTGAGGATGCCCAAACATGTTGTCTACGTAGGGAGCTCTCACTTCGATTTGAGATCGTTTACATTGCATGCGAAAATAACCCATACATGATTTCTTAGTATCTTTCATGAAGAACTGTCTGGTGAGAAGTTTCAGATTTAAGCTTCTTGTTGCCAGTTGTGCAATAGCTAAGGCTTTTGGTGGTGATGACATTTTGGTTAGTTTGAATTCAGTTGTCATTGACTAGACGCTTTTATCAACAGGTTCAAGCTGGTCTGGTCTCAGTTGGCAAAGCTGGTTTTTTAGCTGGTCTATCTGATTGACAACTGGCCTTCCTGCAGAGAAAACAAAAAAGAGCCCAAACCCATTTAGAACCAGTCTGACTAGGAAACCAGCAAACCAGTTAAGGATTGATTCAATGGTTTTTAGAAGGGTTGATCCAGGAAACACAGAACTCATTCTGTGGTTTGAACCTAGCACTTTTACTTACTGCTTTCATTTACCCAGAACTTTTAACAACTAGAATATCACACAGAAAACAAAAGAGACTAAGACTTGTTTGTTTTACTGGTCTTAGCTGGGTTATGCTAGTTTAGCTGGACTCCCAGCCTGGGCAAGCAACTCTTCATCTAACTGCTGGATTAGAACCTCTCTAAAACCAGCGAAGAGAACCAAGACCTGCAAACCTGGTTAAAATCTGGTTTTCTTACTTGGAAAAAAAATCCTTATTACATTTATCTACATTTTTGTTGTCCAATACACTGTTTAAGGTAGTGTGAATAATTGAAATTGAGCCCATTGTCGAAGTTAATGTTTGTGGCAATTTGCAAGGCAAATG